ATGTGTGTATGGATTGCGATAACAGTTGTATGAGCCCCTAATAAAATGTTTTTTTTTTTTAAAAAAAGAGTTACAGTCTTCAAAACCAATGGGGACAATTCTACCCAGTCCCATAGAGTCGCCAAGAGTCAGAATGAACTAGATGGCAGTGAGTTTGGTTTTTTTCGGTGAGGATTTTATTTTGGTATTTTACGTTGAACCATTATTTGCAGCATCCTATCAAACATATTTGTCGAATTTTATCTTATATTGTGTTTAAAATATTGGTAGAGAAGAAGAAAAACGGTTTTTCTTTTATGTGGGAACATGAATTTTCTCTGTGTAATAAAGATGGTCTTGTCAAGAACCATTTATATGTGTTTAAATGTAAAGGATTTAAAGTAAAGAAGCTTTGTGGCAGTTTAGGGTAGGCATTGTACTATTAACCACAAGGTCAGTGATTCAGACTCACAAGTCACTCTGTAGGAGAGAGGTGCGGCTGTTTGCTTCTCTGAAGATTTCCAGCCTCCGAAATTCTATATAAGGTTGCTATGAGTTGGAATCAAATCAATGGATGGAGATTGGGGTTTGGTAGGAACTTTAAGATTTGTCATACATACTTGTTTATATACAAATTTCTCCTTTAAAATTTTTATAATTTAGAGAAGTATATAGTATTCCTTATATTTTATCACAGATAACTAAAAGAATATGATATAGAATAGATCAATGGAACATATAAATGTGAACTTAATTAGGTATAAGTATTTAATATAAAATAAAAATAACATTTCAAATCTGAGGGGGGAAAAGATGTTGGAGCAAGTAAACACCCATTTCAGAAAAGCAGAATGATGGAAAACTATATCAAATTAAATTTCACAAGTGTTAAAGATTTAGATGTATTTTTTAACCCTTATAAATGCTAGTGGATGATACAGTAAATATTTATATGCGCCTGGGGAAGGAAAAATCTCAAAGTAGTATAGTCAAGCATACATTATGATGAATAATGGATAGATCTTACATTCAAATCATAAAGAACTGTTTACAATATTAAAAAGCAAAAGTACAGCTAGAATGTTCCTTAGCAGTGGGGGTTTGTGAGACTTCCTTTCACATCCAGTGGACATGTTATTAGAAGGATTAGACCCTTGAAAAGAGCATTATGCTTAGTAAGCTAAAAGGGCATTAAAGAAGAAACCTTCCAGATGAAGTGGCCCAGTGGCTGCAGCAGTGGGCTCAAACGTGCCGTTTGGGAGGCGAGTGCAGGACAGGGCAGTGACTCCCTCTTGTCTATAAGATCACTGAGTCCGAACGGACTTGCTGGCTCCTAACAACAACAGGATCACATTTGCTACGTGTTTACCCATTGACCCAGCAAATCTGCTAGAGTTTTATCCTGAAGAACTAATAGGCCAATTGCATTTTTATAGTAGTGAAAAATTAGAATAAATTTATTTGTCAATTTATAGAGAATTATGAGATAAACTATAGCTATTTAAAATGATAGCACAATTGCATTTATTTAGTGCCAGACACTATTCTAAACATTGGACATATTCATTAACATTGAAAGAATGACATTTCTGTCAGTAGGAATAGGTATCACATTCTAAATGTTTCCTCTTCCCCACCCACACCCCCGCCCCACTGTCATGATCCCAATTCTTCTTACAAATCTGGCTAGACTGGAGGATGTACACTGGTACAGATAGGAACTGGAAACACAGGGAACCCAGGACAGATGAACCCCTCAGGAACAATAATGAGAGCGATACCAGGAGGGTAAGGGGAAGGTGGGGTAGAAAGGGGGAACCGATCACAAGGATCTCCATATAACCCCCCCTTTCTGGGGGACAGACAACAGAAACGTGGGTGAAGGGAGATGTCAAACAGTGTAAGACATGACAAAATAATAATAATTATAAATTATCAAGAGTTCATGAGGGGGGCAGGCAGAAAGGGAGGGGGAAAATGAGCTGATACCAAGGACTCAAGTAGAAAACAAACGTTTTGAGAATGATGATGGCAACAAATGTACAAATGTGCTTGACACAATGACTATATGTATGGATTGTGATAAGAGTTGTACAAAACCCCAATAAAATGATTTTTAAAAAAGAAAAGAAAATGATGGTGGCAGCAATTGGTCTAATTGAATTATGGATTATTATAATATCTATAAGAGCTCCCAATAAAATGATTAATAAAAAATTAAAATTAAAGTTTTGTTTAAAACTAATTAATGAGTTAATCATTATTTATCTGTTAATATATCACTAAATTATCGAATTATTTAACTATTAATTATTTAGAAATAAGTTTATAAAATCTCGAGTGTATATGGCTAGAGACACATTGATGTATGTTTGAATGGTATATGTCTGTGGCCTAGGTGGGCAGGGACAGAGAACTCAGTGGTTGTATGCAGCCAGTAGTGGCCATCTTCCGAATGAGATAGTGTTGAAAATACTTACTTTCTTAATACTTTCTATATTTTCTAAATGATAATGCTGAGTTTTAGTGATCTGTTTAACATTTTTTTCATAGTTATGTCTCAGTATCCTATAAGTTATCGAATGTTCTTGGATTATTTCACTTCTCTTTTAAAACTTCTTGTATGTAATCCTTATAGTAAAGGTAATATACTTCATTTTTATTAGAATGAAAAAAAGCTTGAAAAAGAGAAAAAGAGACAGAAGATTAAGAAAGACAGCGAAGGTTGTCCCCTGAAGCAGAGCATGGAATGGGAGCAAATAGAGACCCACAGCCAGATGAGTGACATCAGCCATAAGAGCAATGAGTTTGGAATAGTAGAAAATTACGAGGAAGCATTAACACAGCAGTTGGAGAATGAAGATGAGCAGTCTTCAGAATCAGGTACTGAATCCAGTTATTTTAAATATATTTATATTTATTTGTTTATATTTTTGTGCTCACTTATATTCTATTCCTTTTATTGTAATTATTTTCACACACAAAAATGTATTATCTCTGTCTTTGTCAAAATTGACTCCATGGCCGTGGGCTTTATCTGTAGCTATATGTGTATATAATCTTGTCTTCAAATGCAGTATTATCATGAGTTTTCTATGGCTATGTTTTCCGTAAAGATGCCTTTATAGCTTAAAATCATTACAGTAAAATATTATATTATTGTTTTATTTTTATAAATCTAGGGTACAATATAGCCCAAGGAATTTTTAGAAATTTTTTAATATCTTCAGGGTTTTTTTTCCTTCTTCTTTTTAGCTTCATTATGGACTAATCAGCATCATTTCCTTTATTTACTATTTCAATACAATAGAAACAAAAAATTTTTAAAATATTATCAAAAAGTTATTTTTCCTCTTTAATATGGTATAAATTGATCTTCTTAGTTACTACTGCTATAAAAGAAGTCTCACAAATGAGTGGCTTCAACACACATTTATGTTCTCACAGTGTAGGAATCTCAGAGTCCAAATGCGAAGTGCTGACTCTAGGGCGAGGCTTTTTCTCACTGTGGGCTCTGAACCAGGTTTTTTTCCTTCTTTAGCTTCTGCTTCATGGCTCTTTGGAGAGCTCATACAGCAGGGTGTCTGCCCTTTTGCTTCCTTATTTCATCAGTTCTCTTATATCTCAGAAGAAATGGACTCAAGACATCTTACACTAATACTTCCTCTTTAACGTAACACATTCTATTCCCAAATAGGATTATACTCACAGGTATAGGGTTTTGGATACAACATGTGATCTGGGGACACAATTCAATCCACAGCAGTAATTGTTTGTGTTTTCTAACTGGTAATGTGGTTTGGAATTTCATGTCATTGAATGTAATAGAGCGATTACCTGTATTATTCAGACAACCTGTGATACAGACCTAAGTCTCCCGTCAACTAGATATGTGCAATAATAAAATCTTCAGTCTTAGTTTTCTCACCTTTATATGGAGGGGCGTTTATATAAAATATCCCTGCAGCAGTCCAGCCAAATGCCTGGCACATGGGAGATAAACAAAAATTTCTACGTTCTTGACATTCCTACATAGTGACCTGGTTCTACTTAAACTGTAATTTTTTTAAAAAAATACTATTATTGGGGGCTCTTACATCTCTTATCACAATCCATACATTCATCCATTGTGTCAAGCACATTTGTACATATGCTGCCATCATCATTTTCAAAGGAAAGTGGAATTCTTTATGTAGGTCACAAGGTTTATAGAAAATAAGGTTCCAATTCTTGAAATCCAGATTATCTAACAGGCGTTTTACTGAATAACTAATACTGATTTAAAACATATACTTTTTGATCATTAGGAAATTGATTACAATATCTCTGTTAGTCAAGTTACAAAAGTAGACTTCATTCAGTGACTTCTCCATTTCTTTCCCTTTTTCAAGTTAGTTCATATGTTTATGTAGAATTAATCTTCTTTATTTTACATTTTTATTTTGTTGTTTTTAAGATTCAGAGTTAGTCAAAACATTTGTACTAGGATTCCAGTTTATAGGTGTGTTGATTTATTCCAAACAACACGTGTGGCTTTGATTTTGTTTTTAACATCATTTTATTTGGGGCTCTTACAGCACTTAACAACAACACATACATCAGTTGTATCAAGCATATATGTACAAATGTTGGCATTATTATCTTCTAAACATTTACATTCTTTTTGAGCCCGTGGTATCCGCTCCTCTTTTTCCCTCCCTCCTCCTCCCGCCCTCGTGACCCCTTGATAAATTATAAATTATTTTCATATCTTACACCAACGGCTGTCTCCCTTCTCCCATGGTTTCTGCTGTTCATCCCTCTGGGGGAGGGGGGACCGAGTGGAATGGTTATGTGTCGATCATTCTGATTGGTTTCCCTTTCTCCCCTCCCCTCGTGCCCCTACCCTCCTGCCTCCTACCCCTACACCTACTCCGATTTCTGTTCCCGAGGGGCTTATCTGACCTGGATTCTGTGTGTTGTCATAAGCTATTATCTGTACGAGTGTACAGGCTCCAGTCCAGCCTTAAGTGGAAGGCAGCATTGGGGTCATGATAGTGGGGAGTGAGGAAGCATATCGTGACAGGACAATACTGGGAACACACTGCTGTGAGTGAGTCCTTTCTGACACTCGGCCCCCCACCTCCCCCGCCACCCCTACAGCAGGGGGAACCAAGAAGGGAACATAACAGATCGACAACTGGAGTAAAGCAAAGTCACAAAGCCCCAAAAATAGACTTCAGGCTAGGTGGCACAGTTCAGGAACCCCCCCAGGACTGGTGGGGAGATAGTCCTAAAGCTCAGCAGACTGACCTGGAATTATGTATGCTTTTTCAGTGGGGTTTTGCTAGTTTTTTTTTCCCTTTTGTTTTATCTTTTACTGTTGGTTTGTCTACCTATATCATCAGAGAGACATGGGAAGCAAGCCCGAGGAGAATGCAAGAGGACCGATGGCTTTGGAGGGACTTGTGGGAAGGGAGAGTTGGGGGAAGGGAGTGGTGAGCAAACAACGCCATAGATAGGGGGAAAACTAGGGCATTAAAATCAAGGAGGAGGACACAGAGATCCTGGGGGTGTTGGAACAACAGCAATCTAGCTGAGAGGAATTACTAAGAGGCAGAAGAAAGTTGAGCGTGAGGGTGGGGCAGGAGGAAGGTAAAAGGCAACAGAGGACAGATCTCAGAAGCAACGCTATGGATAGAGGTATAAACATAGGTGTGTACATATATAAATACAATAATCCATAAAAATAGAGATATTGGCCTATGTACATATATTTATATGGCAATACATTGAGGTAGTGGACAGACTTTGGGCCTCTGCTCAAGTACTCCCTCAACGCAAGAACACTCTGTTCTAACAACCTGGCATTCTGTGATGCTCACCCTCCCGGCACGATCACTGAAGACAAAATGGGTGCATAAGCAAATGTGTTCAAGAAAGTTGATGATGCCTAGCTTTCATAAGATATAATGTCTGGGGTGTAATAGGTTTGAAATTAAACATGCAGCCATATAGCATAGAAGCATCAAGCCCACATGGGAGAAGCACACCAGCTGTGTGATCATGAGGTACTGACCGGATCAGGAAACAGATATCCGAAGAACCCAAACAAATTAAAAAAAACATTCATGAGTGAAGGGGGTCGGAGCAGAGACCCAAAGACCATCTGTAGACAATGGGACATCCCTGACAGAAGGGTCACAGGAATGAAGGAGTCACCCAGGGTGCATTATTGTACTGATGAAACACACAATATCCTCTGATTCCTTGAGGCTTCCTCAACACCTGTTTAAATATATATCTGTCATCAGTGGTTGGCTGCAAGGTAATTTTTTTCAGTAATATATTTGTTTTAGTCTCACTAGGGTACCTTCAAAGAAAGAAGAAAGATACTTTTTATGCTATGAAATAAAATTATTTTGAGGTAAAGGCTAATTTTTACACAGAACTCAATTAGATATCTTCCAATCCATTGAAGTTTTGCTAAAGGTAACCTAAGAATGCAAAAAAAAAAAAAAAAAAGGTTGGCCACATGAAATGACAAATTTTAGATGAATCAAACTGTGTTAGTCTGGGCAGACTAGAGAAACAAATCCATGGACACACACACATATGTGTATAAGAAAGAGATATATATACAAGAGCAATTGAACAGTGAGAAAACATCCCAGCCCAGTCCAGATGAAGTCCCTAAGCCCGATTTATTAGCCCATATTTCCGATATCAATCTATAAAGCCCTCTACAGACTCATGAAACACATGCATTGACACTGAATGCAGAAGATCGCAGGCCAGTGGGTAGAAAGTCTTTGGATCCAGTGACATTGCAAACATCTCGGCACTGGCGGGGTCTCTCTGTGGCTTCTCCGACGCCCGAGGTCTGGTTGCATCCATGTGGCTTGTATTCTGCAATGTCTCCCAGAGAGTAGCAGAGAGTCAGAGGTGTGTTCCGCCTCCAAGGAGGAAGTACCAGATTTCCCAGCATTCTTAGGAGAAGGCCATGCCCACACAGAAGTCTCATTGGCTATCTCCAGATTGACAGCCTACACTCCACCCCTACACTCTTAATCCTTAAATTGACACCAGATTAGGTGACTGCCACACAAACATTTTAAGGAAGGTTAGGAAGACTTCAGTGGTACTGCCCAGAATGGGAAGATCAACCTCAATGAAAGAAGGAACAGGTGGGAAAAGGCCTTGGAATTGATTACCTTTGTTGTGCTAGCTGCTGAAGCTGGAATCCTGTTTTGTTTGACATTTTAATTTTAGGCTAACACCTTTGCCTTTCAACCTTTGAGTTAAATAGGTGCCAGTTTCGGTTAAATATAAGCATAGTATAAATAACAGCTATCCTAAAGAGTGGATCTTTCCACCAGTCTTTTAAGCAAGATTGAAGAGAATGAAAATGATTTCGTGGAACAAATCACGACCAAGGACTCGTCTTGGATGTACTGAGATGATGCAGAGTGATCAGCTCAAAACCATATGACAACTGTTTTTGAGATTCTGAAGGGTGAATTTTGATAGCTTTTTAGAATTTTGAAGGTGAGGATGGGAGCTTATTACAAAGAAATTTTAACAAAATTGAAAGCTGCATTGGTGAGAAATAAGCCAGGAAATTTATGCCAAGGAATTTTTTTTATTCACAACAAACAATGCATCGGTTTATTCTTTTAGGGCAGCAAGACTGTCCAGCCCCTTCAGACTTCTTTTTATTGCTCAAACTCAAGGGTAATTTCTAAGGTGCATGTCTTGGGCCCTTTCAGGATGCCAAAACTTCCATTTTGATATGGTATAAATGAGTTCAGGATTCTTTTGTAAAGGGTCAGAGAGGTGAAAACATGGTCTATAGAAGTGTATAGACATATGAGATTTTGAAATTATTGTTTAATAAAGTTTAA